AGATAGATAGATAGATAGATAGATAGATAGATAGATAGATAGATAGATAGATAGATGATAGATAGATAGATAGAGTAAGCAAACTGTTCCCCACAATATAAAAAAAAATAAAAGGCATTAGGGTTCAAGATATTATATGCCTCACCCCCAGGGGTATTACTGTTTTAACAAAAGACACAGAACCTGGAATATCAAAAGACAGAAAGACACAGCACTGTATCTGTACAAAGACGCTACCTGGAGCTGAGAAGAGACAGAGAGAGCTGGCCACAGGGAGGCAGCAGGTTCGAGTAGAACGATCTTGGTCTGGAATTTAGACTTGGTGTGAGTCCCTTTACATCTCTGAGCCTCACTTTCCCACTTTGTAAAATGAAGGCCTGACTTAAGGTGCCCTTCTGGCTCTAAATGCCCCTTCTCATTATGGGAGCTGGCCCTGGAGAGTTGATAGGGAGAAATGAAGGGAGGTAGGTCCTTGGTCTCTGGCTTAGACATGCCTTTCTCCTCGTCTCCCTTCTCTCCCACAGATCGAATCCAGGAGGAGCTGAGCCGAGAACTGGGGCGGGAGCGGGCCCCCAGCCTGGAGGACCGTGGGCGTCTTCCCTACACTGATGCTTTTCTGCATGAGGTTCAGAGGTTCCTGGCCCTCCTCCCTATGGGGGTACCCCGTGCCCTCACAAAGCCCACTTCTTTCAGGGGCTATGATCTGCCCCAGGTAAATGTCAGGAGGAGGTGTAGGGGAAGAAGAGGAGGAGAGACCACCCTCATCAGGCCTGGTCAGGGGGAATAGAAGAAGCCCCCTCCCAGGCAGGAGGGAGCAGGGAAGGCCAGTTAGAGTAGGTGAGCTGGCATGCAGCCCATACAGAGGCAGACTTTAGCAGACATGGGCTTCTATTCTCTACCTGCCCTGGCTCGGACACACATACATTCAGACATGGGCACTTCTCCCCTTTCATGATTCTCTGCTCCCCCCAATAGTTCAGATTCCCTTTCCCCATCCCCCTGGCCAGAGTTGCCTTCTCCAGACCCCATTGGGGGCCCTGAGACTCAGTTCTAGGCATGGTTAAAACCCCAGAAGGAGGCAGATGGGAAAGTGGGGAAAGAAACCTCCCCCTGGCCCACCGTTCTCCTCTGCCATCCCCATCACCAAATGCCAGCCCAGGGAAGAGCTGAAATCCAGTGAACAGTGCTAGCGAGGCTGGAAGCATAACGGCTCCAGGGGAGGGGAGGTTCTGAAGAATCTTGACTCCCTCCCCCATCTCCTAGGGCATTGAAGTCTTCCCACTCCTGGGCTCCGTTCTGCATGACCCAGAATTCTTTGAGCGGCCAGAGGAATTTGACCCAAGCCGTTTCCTGGATGCCGATGGCCGATTCAAGAAAAACGAGGCCTTCTTGCCTTTCTCCTTAGGTATCTACCAAACTCTAAGCCTGGGAAAGGGTTAGGGGGATAGGACTGCTTTCGGCATTCTCAGGACAGTTACCCCACCCCTGAATATTCCTCCAGAATCACCGATTCATTGGTCCATAAGCTATCAGTAAGGAGAGACTGTTGAGTCTAACTGCTTTATTTTATAAAGGGGTAAAGTAATAATAATGATAATAGTAATAATAATAATAATAACTAGCATTTATATGATGCCAGGCACTGTGCTAAGCACTTTACAAATCTCATTTGATACTCACAACAACTCTGGGAGATAGGTGTTATTATTGTTCCCATTTTACAATTGTGGAAACTGAGGCAAAGTTAAGTGAAGCCCAGGGTCACAAAGCTAGTGTCTGAAGGTTCAAGCCAAGACTGGAGGCCCTTTGGCCTGGTTTGATCAGGTGGGTGTTGCAGTAGCCAGCCTCTAGACCCCCTTCCAACTTCAGCCCTCTATAATATACCCACTTGTCAGAGGCAAACCAGGCAGTAGCCTTCCACTCCCCCCTATCCTTGGAGCCCCACAAAGGGGAGCAGTGGGGATGGATAGCCAAGCTTCCCTATTCCTTTATGACCAGGCAGTCACCACTAACAAACATTGGCCTGACCCCTGGTGCCTAGCCATGCTACCTGGGCCACTGAAGGTGGGTAGAGGAAAAGAAGGAAGGAACCTTCCAAGGGAAGGGGGGTGGGGTTGGATTCTCTCCCTAGACACAGGCTCCTGAGCTTGGCTCAGAGCAGTTCAGGTTTCTACTGCCCACTTGGTGGGTGGAAGAAGTGTGAGTTTGTTGGGAGGAGGGGGTGACTCAACCAGGGAAGGGCTTAGGTAGGGCCAATGTGGGCAGGAGATAAGGAGTAAGTGAAGCTGGAGAAAGAAGCTGAGATATTCCTGACTTCCGGGGGAGGGGGAGGGGAACCAAGAGTATGAATCGGGAGGGGCAAGGGGATGGGAAAGGGAGCCATGAACCCCCTACCTCATTCCATAAGTCTTTATTGGACCTTCATGGGCCCCTGTGCTGAGTTAGGGGTAGGGGAGATGAACAAAAATAAATGGAGGCATAGCCAGGCCCTCCTACATTACCATGTACTGGAGATAAGACAAGAACACAGATAAATACAATACACGTTATGAATGACTTTGTGAAGTAGGGCAGAGATCACCCAGTTTAGAGTCAACAGCCCAAAGTTCAAATCTTGTTCCAGGTGTTTATTTTCTGTAGCCCTGAGCAAGCTCCTTGCCTCTCTGGGACTCAGTTTCCTCATCTGTAAAAGGAAGGGGTTTAGGCTAGAATCTAGCCACTAGATGACCTCAAAGGTTTAGATGCTATGATGTCTCAGTCTTGAGGTCAGAATCTCCTCTTTTTCTCCCCAGGGAAGCGAATCTGCCTTGGGGAAGGCCTGGCCCGCACTGAACTCTTCCTCTTCTTCACCACTATCCTCCAGAATTTCTCCCTGGAGAGTCCATCCCCACCCGGAGCTCTGAGCCTCCGGCCAGCCATCAGTGGCTTCGCCAACATTCCTCCAACCTTCCAGCTTCGCTTCAGACCCCGCTGACTGGCTTGGGGGAGAGGGCAGCAGGAGACCCTAACCCCCAGGGCTGATGAACTGGTGCCCCACTTGGAATGGGCCCACAGGGTTCAGAGACAGGCTCCTAAGGCTCCCAGAGAACAAAGACCTAGGAGTAGATTCATCCATTTCAGAGACTCACTCTCAACATGCTCATGAATGCACACAGACCAACATCCTGTATTTATTCAATTCGACACACCCTTTGTTAGCCATGTTCTACACGTAAGACATTCTTGATGTAGAAATGGCCAACTTGGAGTTGAGGATCTGAGTTCAAATCCTGCCTGTCCTACCTCTGTGATCATGGGCTAGGCATTATCCCTTTCTGGGTGTTATCTTCTCACTCTAAGCCTATAATCCACAGCAGCCCACAAGCCAGTACTTCTCTTTCACACACCCTTAGGACACACTGTAGACATACCCTAGCTGTCTCTTGGGACCTCAGAGTAAGTAGGAAGAGAGAGAAGGAACTACCTAGCCCAACCCACCCTTACTTGAGCCAGAGTTCTGACTACCACATACGTACTTGACAGATTTATCTAGTGTCTGATTGCCCTGACTTTCAGGAAGGGGAAACCCACTCTGTCCCCAGGAAGCCCATCCCACTTCAGGATACCTCTGATGGTTAGGAAGGTCACACAATTTCTCTTGTCTGCCTCTCTAGTCTTACCCACGGGCACTAACACTCCAAATACCCATGGTTCCACCACTACCCTGCAGGTGCACTCCACCCAGGGAAAGGGAGACCCATCTTGGCCTCTGTCCAGTTCCTCTGAAGGAGCTTGATCTGCAGTTTGACCCCCTGCAAACACCCCTCCCCAAAGTGTTGGGGACCTGGAAAAGAGGCTGTCTCTTCCCTCCCCTCATGCCCTTTCTACCCCTACCTCCTCCCCAATAAATACTTGACCTACTTCTGGAAGAGCAGAGAATGATGTAAGTGACCTGGGTGGGAGAAAATGGATGGTCTGGGACAGGAGAGGATGAGGAGGGAAGGGGAATTTGGTAGAAAAGGATTGCAGTAAAAACGGTAATTGCTCACATTTCCATGGTGCGTCCCCAAAACTCCCCTGTGAGGGCTGGACTGCAGCTAGTCATTCCTCCTATCTCCTTCTGGTGGTTTGGAAACAAGACCTAGATGAGGGGAGGGACCCTGCGCAGGGTCATAAGGAACTCAAGATACCCAGCTCTGCCCGATAATGATCTGTGCCATCTAGGGCTAGGTCCCTCTTGTCTCTCTCTGGGCCTCAATCTCCCCCTTGGAAGGACGAGGGGATTGGACCGAAGGCCCTCCAGCCCGCGGACGGACGGAAATGGAAGAGTAGGATCGCCTTTGGGTGGACCTACCTTTCCCCCACCTGCCCTGAGTTGATGTGAATAGAGGGTGGGAGGGACTGGGCGCTCCGAACGCCGCAGCCGCCGACGTTCCAAAGTGGAACGCGGCCACACAGTGGAAATTCTGACGCGGGGTTCCATGGAACGTCCCAAGGGAGAAAGCGCCCGGGAGGCGGGGCCGGCCCCTGGCCTTCCACGGATGAACAGGGTGGCCGCCAGGGGGAGCTGGGATGCCACGTTGTGGTTGCGCTAGCTCCCGTGGAACGCCCGACCCATTGGCTGCCGCGGAAGATGGACGTGGAGAAGGAAACTGAGGGGGTGGGGGGTCATTCCACGAGTGTTTCCTGGGCAGCCACGCTGTACTGAGCCCGTAGACGGAGTTACACTGGATGAGGGGAGAAGAGGAGGCTAGGCAACCCTGCTGCCCACGGAACTCCTCTTTATCCTAGGATGGTGGAACGGACCTAACAGGTCATCAAATCTGGACCCCTTCTTTTACAAGATGAGGAAACTGAGGTCCAGTGACTTTTCCAAAGACACACTGCTGGTAGTAGTGCGCTAAAGATATGGGAATCAACCCACACATACTCTAAATGCAGAGCGGTTTTCAATTCGATCCAAAAAGCATTTATTAAGTGCTTACTGTATACTCAGCAGTTACAGAGGCCGCAAAGATAAAAGGGGGGGGGTGTTGGAGGTGGGCACCCTACTGCTTCCTAGACTCTCGAATTTCCTGGATTCCAGGGTCTCTGAAACACTCTCCCACCCCCTATCCCTTCATACACAGCTTACGGACTCACCAAGGAGCCAGAATGATTGGGTTAGAGTGGTACAGTGGAAAGACCACACTGCCTCCAGAGTCAGAGGATTTGGGTTCAAAACCTGTCTATGAATGCCTACTACAGGTATAATAACCTCGGACAAGTGGATTGGCCTCTCTGAGCCTGTGAGGGGGTAAGATGGCTAGTCTCTGATGACTCTTTCATCCCTTGATCTGTGATCCTTTGAGTCCTGACCCTAGGCCTAACTAGACCCTAGGCAAGTTGCTAAACCCTACCTAGCTCTCAGTTTCCCCTTCTGTACAAGAAGTTGGACTCAATGGTCTCTGAAGACCCTTCTAATTGACCATCTTGGACTCAAGAATTCTAGGGTCCCCTGGGAATTAGGCACAAGGGAATGAGGGATTTAGAGATGAAGAGAGAGTTGGGGGCCCCATTTTTATTCCCCTATTCCCTCCCACCCATCCACTACACACTCAGAAAGTCAGGGCTGTATCCAGGCTTTCCTGGATTTGGCTCCACTTCATTAAAGGATCCTGATGCCTGAGAAAGCTCAATTCAATGAATTTATTAAGCAATAGCTACATGCCATGAATTGTATTAGATGCTGGGGGTGCAAAGACAAGGAAGGAAAGGAAGAAAGAAAGAAAAAAAGAAAGAAAGAAAGAAAGAAAGAAAGAAAGAAAGAAAGAAAGAAAGAAAGAAAGAAAGAAAGAAAGAAAGAAAGAATTAAAGGATGTTTGCCTTCAAGAAACTCACTCCCACCCACCCCTCCTGAGTCAAACAGAGATGGGAGGTGATCACCTAAAAGGGAGAGAGGCCCTGGTAGGGGCGAAGAGCTCCTATCCCTGTGCCTCAGGGACTGCCAAACCTTCCACCATCAGGGCAGACCCAGAGATAGAACCTTAACATTGTTATAAGAGCAGGGAAGACACTTGGAAACCATCTGGTACATCTGTTTTACAGAAAAGGAAACTGAGGCCAGAGAATTAAAGTGATTTACCCAAAGCCACATAGGAAATAAGTAGCAGGATTGTCATTGGAAGCTAGGTCGTCTAACACCAGAACCAATGTTCTTTCCACTGCACCTCACAGCCTCTGCTCTAACCCAGCTGTCCTGGCTCCCAGCCTAGGGCTCTCTCCACCCTCTGGTGCTGCCTCGAAAGTCCAGCTTAGAGAGAGTAAGGAAAGAACACCGCCTTTCCCTACTGTGTCCTCTACTCCGCCTGCCTGTGACCATCATCAACAAACACTTCCCCTAGTAGGATGTAAGCTCCTTGAGGGCAGGGATCATAGTACTTGGTCTTTGTATTCCCAGAAGTCCCGGGTACACAGTGGGTACTTAATAAATGCTTGTTGACATTGATTGATTGATTGATTTGTCCAGAGGCTTGGGCTCCAGATACCCCCCCGTGTGTGTGTGTGTGTGTGTGTGTGTGTGTGTGT